GGTGGAAGATGCTATCTTTTATGAGCACTGATGGCCATGTTAGAATGTTTCCATGGGACTTATTGAAAGGTTTTATGCAGGAACAGGATATGGGGAGGGAGGCGGAGGAGGGAAAAGGTATGACCTGAGCAGATTACCTGTCCTAAAGACCATTTTGGTTGCAGTGAAGAAAAACAATTTACATGAGGACAAAACTAAAGGGTCCTGATGTCACTCTCAGGGCCCCACTGAGATATGGCCACCTTGCAGGGCAGTGGCCATGGGAGGTATGCAGAGAAGTGGGCAGCTCCGAGAGCTGCTTAGGAATTGAAATCCAAGGACTTGCTGGTGGGAGAAAGGTGGAGATTGAGGGCAAAGGAATTGTTGATAAATCTTGGTGACCCAGGTTCATGGCACTTTAGTATTTTTTTTTTTCAGTTACAGGTCAGCTGGAATTGTGCACAGAAACTTGAGACTAAATTTAGGCAGATAATTTAACCTCCCAGAGGCTCACTGTTCTCATCTCTGTAATGGGGAAAATATATGCCAATGTCACAGAACTATCATTAACATTTGAAAATTAAGCATTACGATGTTTAATACAGTGCATATAATCAGTACTCGATAATGGCAGCTGTTAGCATCATTATTTTTAACTGATTATTGTGAAAAGCGTTGTTAAAGTCTATTGATCTTTACTTATTGTGCATAATTAAAGCTATTCAACTGACTTGTGTGATATTAAGCTGGCAGGGTACAAACAGAAGGCTTTGCACAAATTAACAATGTTTTACAAATACAGACACATACACATAGTTAGAGTTAAAAGCAGTGAACAGTATTAATGCGACGACAGGGATTGGATTTTTCACGGGGTGGGGGCTGACGTGGTGTTCCCATGGGAATCCCAGGACACACTGCTCACTGAAGGCTTCACGGACGTTTTATGATCCCCCAATCAATAGAGACATGGAAATACTTTTACAAAGTGTGCACCTGGGCATATACTGCAGAGATTAATTGAGAGACTTGGTTTATCTATTCTAACAAATGTTGGTTAAATTGCATTTTCTTTTTCTCCAGAACTATCAATAGTTTTCCTTTTTCAGATTGAATACATAAATCAAAAGAACATATTTCATGAACTACAATTATGAAACTCCTGTGCTTCATCTATTGATCCCCAAAACTTTATTTACCCATGCATTTCTGCCTTCTTTGTAACAGATCAGAACTGCTCTTTTTTTTTATGTTACTGTAGTTAGAATCATCTGTGGCTCTTGAATTGGCAGTGTATCAAGTAGCCTTCAGAATAGCACAGGGAATGTGATCAAACCCACTGCTAAACCCTTTCTTATTTCCACATTTGCAGGATCTATTAGTTTCTAATTTTAGTAATTGTTTTACTGCATTTTAGCATAATTACAATAAGGTTACCATACTGATGATTCTTTGATGCTATGTATCCCATAAAATGTGTGGAACTACTTAGGGGAAAACAGTACTTTCATAGGACACTCTGAGGTTTTACTTTTAAATGATATGCAATTAAATATAATATACTTCTAAGCTGCTTTCTTTTTTCAACCAACACATAACAAACTGCTCAAGTATCATCTCTTATGTATTTCAAACCATTTTTAAAAAAGAAAATCAAAACAGATCTCTTTAATATGGACAGCATATACTGAAGTAATACAAAAACTGGGCTTAAAAATATCAGCCAATGCAAGCAGTGTTCCCTGTTTGATAATAAAAAGATTGAATTGATTTTTTCAAGTTTTAGGACAAAAAATACGACATAACGAATTTCAGCTTGATATCATTTGAAATAACCAATATATTAAAGCCCAAAGTGAAATTTAAATTGGCAATCACGTCAGATTCAAGTCTCTGAATGAATATTAATTTAAAAACTAATCATATTCTAACAGGTGGAGTCTTCCCGATGCTGTTAGGTCCATTACTGTAACCTCCGCATTTTTGTTTAGGAAATTAGACTTTCAATGCTCAGAATCTCTGGCTCTCCCTGGCACCTTTTTTTTTTTGCCAAGGGATCTAATTAGTTTAAAAAATCATTTCTTTTTCCAAATTTGGAAAATTAGAATTCTGGTTTTGCTGACAGAAAGCTGATATGGAGTGAACTTTCTGAGGTAAGGTATATGGTCAAATCTATCCATTAATTTTATGTCATCAAGTCTCTGTAAGTTAAATTCAGGTTTCTGAGCCAATTCCACGAGTAAAGATGTGTTTTCTTTTACACACACACACACACACACACACACACACGCCATATAAATTGATTGACTTGTGGACACATTGGAGCATAAGTAAAAATATGCATACACATTAATTACAGACTTACAATTCACAATTTGACTAAACCCAGACTATCAATTATGTGTTCTAGCCCATGCCCAGCGATGGTGAAAGTCTCTAATCCCCAAATCAAACAGGAAGTGCATATGCTACATCATAATGCAACAGTGAGTTACATTTCATATGAAAATATATTCTTTGCAGTTCTACGGTGAAACGATTACAAGCTGCCTTTGCCCATATCTTGGCCATAAAATCTACTCCAAACAATGTTTCTGTGTAAATACCAGACAGCATGGGAAAGCAGAAAACAGCACCAGCCTGGTGTGGGCTGTGTGCGGAGCTCGCTGTCGCTTACACCCAGACACCCTGCCCAGCAGCTTTCCACGCTTCCATAAACTGTGCCTCACTCCACAGTCCGCTTGTGTCTTTATGTAAAAGTCAAGGAAGCCTTGTTTAGTCCGTCCAGTCCAATCCCCTTCTTACACAAGCACAGAAACCGAGTCAAGAGAATTTCTTACGACTACACAGTATGGGACCCAACTCAGGTTTCCCTACTCCTAATCTTGCATCCGTCCTACTCTTTTTATAACATTGTAGGAATGAGCACATTCCTTATTCAATGTCTATAAAATGAATTACTATAAAGTTCACAATATCCTCAAAATATTCAAACTGGTGTCCACTAAAGAAACCCTATGCAGATCTCCCATTAAGAATAAATAATTGTGCTCGCTCTCACTTTTATTTGAATGAATCAAGATTTTCATAATGCTGGGATACCCCAGAATCTGTCAATAAAGACCAGATGAATACATGGCTGATCTGCATGGTTTTCTCATGGTCCATGACTGTTTAGATGTATAGTTTTAACAAAAAATTTAGAATGGGGGAAAACATGTAAAAATAAATAAATAGAAGTGTACAAATTGGAAAGGACAAGTTTTCTCTTGATAGTCAGGCAGTTAAGAAATAAAGTGGACTCATTAAATCACAAGTACTTTAACCTTTCCTTGAAAGAAGGGTAAGATTTAAAGATTTATGAAGAAGTTTTGCCTAAACTCGGAAAGGCTCATATTTGACGTGTATTGAGAAGATAATGCTGATCTCAAGAGGCACTCTAAGAGCCTCTTACTCCCAGGAGAGGGACTCGGTCCTGGTCCCCTTCCCATTTAGATGGCTTTTAATCAACCGCCGCTGCCAACACATGGCACAGGCTCACAGACCAGGCAACATTTTAACGGCAAGTCAAAAGAATTTTTTTATCATCGTTGATACCAACGTATGAAAACATATTGATTTGACATCTTCTGCAGATTCCCCTTGTTTGGCAGTTTCTATTTGCACGTTTTCCACACTATAACCCAGTCCTGTGGTACTAGTCAGTGGCTAGAATGGACCATTTGGAGATATAGGACAGATTAGGCCCCTCTCTGCTTACTACTGAACAATGAGAGGAAAGCTCTGACAAACTGAACCCATCTGCTCTACAGTCCTAACCTGGGATCAGGCATGACCACCCCTTTGCAGGTCCTTTCAATGCTGGTGGCCTAGAAATATGGCTCCCTGAAAAGTGCATGTGCTAAACTCACATCCTAACTAAAAGCTGAGCAGATAAGGCATAAAATGCTGACTGACTATCACTTCACCAATACCTTCCTATAGGAATCAACCATTGTGGCCTCTCTGTATTGCTATTTTAAACATTCTTCCCAAGGCTTTTCATGCACAGCTATGCAAATACATGGCATGATTTCATTTACAACCAGGCACAACAAAGATATGTACAAAGTATACGTATATCACCAAGAACAATTTCTGTGCTGAAACAGACTCTAAAACCCAGACCACAACCCTCAAGGGCCTAAGGAAGTCCACTCGCTCCCTGCTGCTAGGTGGGATAAAAATGCAAGAAATCAAATATTATTCTTATTTTAAAAACGGGGATATATATACCCCCTGGTGCAAATGCGGTTCACAAGGACCACTGTCCGGATGCCCCGATGGGAACATATGCTGAGAACTGCACACGCAGTACCTCTGCCATGAGAGGCACGGGCCCAGCCAGTGCCCTGCAGACACGAAAGGATAAACCCTGTCTCTTCCGGGAACCATACACTAACAGACATCTCACAGTTCTCTCAGCCTTTAGCAGCTTCTAAGGTTAATACAAACTGTGGCTGACAACTAAAGTAATCATATAACACCTTCCGAGTGTCTTATGTGTCAAGTTCATTAGTCCTAAGGTCAGCATTTTAATGCAACAGCCAAATTTTATTCCCATCATCAGATGCTATCTGCAAAAGGCAGCTGTGAAAGCCAGGCAGGGCTTTCCACACTGCCGCGACCATTAACGTTACTTCTAGACACCAAAAAAAAAAAGCCCTCACGCATTTCTGAACAAGAGAAAATAGACTAACCAAAGGCAACAAAAATTTCATGAGGGTATTATTACTCGAGATAGCATTGTCCTAAGCTTCCGTGGGAGTTTTCCCAGCAATTTTGAGGGGACAATGCTGGTCTATCAAGAGATGCATCATTAGGTCATTTAAATACCGATTCTCTTGAGTCGTCATTTGCACATGCTTGAAAGCTAAAAAGAACCCGCTTCAGATCCTGTGGGGAAGATGCCATTGAAAGGAAAGAAAGGAAGACAGATTGGTATGTTTAACCAAATGTTAAATATGTTTTATTTTACTCACCTGCACACTCAGATGGATCCATTTCTTCACAAGAATTCTCCCCAGTGTCATTACTTTTATTGGAGGCTGCAAACCATTTACTGTGCGATAATAAAACGTGGTTTCTTTCTCCGATACTGTAAGTTTGAACACAATCTGCCCGTGCGCCATCTTCTCTATAACACACCTTGGGAAGCAACCGGAGAGAAAAAAGGTCAGCATCCGTCCAAAAGACAGGCTAAGGCATCGCACATTTTCAGAGCAAGCTTTATTCCGAATAAGAAGCCCTCTCATTTCAATTAAAAAAAATAGAGTTCTTACTGATAATATATCCCTCAGAACCTCAGCACCCTTTATTAGACATTCACTTTGCAAACAGAAGTGGCTAAATCATCCTGCAAAAACTAACATTCAGCTGCTGGGTTCATTAGTTCCTCTGCTATTTCTTTTATAAGCAGCAGCATTATCATATCCTGGGTATTGAGTCACCAGTGCACATCTTTTCTTTTTCTTAATGTAAAGAAAATTTACTATCCATAGAGGGCTCTAAACAGCTCCATTTATTTTTAATATATTTTCATTAATTTCAGAGAGGAAGGAAGAAGGAGAGAGAGAAAGAAACATCAATGATGAGAGAGAATCATTGATCGGCTGCCTTGTGCTACTGGGGATCAAGCCCGCACCCCGGGCATGTGCCGTGACCAGGAATCGAACTGTGACCTCCTGGTTCATAGGCTGATGCCAGGCTAAACAGCTCTGTTTAATTCCCACGGTGAAATGGAGAACTGACCACTATAGTCTTTACCTCCTTGTTGGCCACCAGCCAGAAGCCAAAGCTGGTGTCTGTAAGATGACTGGACGGCTGACCCTGACCACACAGCCCGAGGCACTGACCTTGGATGAAGGATCATCCAATATTTGGAGAACATAGTGAAATAATATTCTGTTAAATAGAATTTTCAGAAAATATCTAGTCTTCATTCAGGCTGGTTATCAAATTATTATTATTTTTAAATCACTTCTTTCCTAATCACAGTGATACTCTTTTCCCATCCCTTTAAATAGGTCTTGGCATTTTTATATTTCATCATTGTTATTTTCTATAATATTGGCTTATGTTCAATATAAAATTTTTTTATATTAATTATATCATTGTGTATTTCTGGCCATTCTGGGTCCACTTAAGCCCCATTCCTCTCTATCATATTTCAACCTCAGCAAGTCAACTTTTTAGCAGAAGACAGATTATGAATGCTTGCTAGTTGCCTTCTAAGTGGATTATTCCCAAAGATCTGCTGTTTAAAGAGCAATATCACACCCGGCCAGGGTGGCTCAGTGTTTGAGCTTCAAACTATGAACCAGGAAGTCACAGTTCGATTCCTGGTCAGGGCATATGCCCGTGTTGTGGGCTCAATTCCCAATAGGGAGCTTGTAGGAGGCAGCCGGTCAATGATTCTCTCTCATCATTGATGTTTCTATTCCTCTCTCCCTCTCCCTTCCTCTCTGTAATCAATAAAAATGCATTTAAAAATAAATAAATAAAGAGCAATGTCACTGACAGTAGCCATCAACATCTCCTGGAATGACGAGCTGTTGAAGATGGTCATCAGCTTGCATCTCACAGATGAGAACTCAAGAAGGTGGTACACCCAGGTAGGAGAATTCCATCAGGTAGTGGAAGAGTCTGGGTCCCTTTCTTCATGCAGCTGCCTCCCACTCGCCCAGACATCTCCATCGTTATGCCTGAGCCCTCCCAGGTCAAGACTGTAGAAGGGGTCTTCCTTTGAGCTCACTTAACACATGGTGCTCCTTCTCTAATAACACTAATCAATCTGTCTTCCCTTAAGATCATGAGTTTTCTGAGATACGTTAAAGATTGAAGGGGCAAATGGAAGATTGGGCCAACCAAGAATTCTTGCTACAGATGTTTTAAAACATTCCTTAAATAGCACACTTTTCACAAACTATTCCCTCTCACTTGCATTTATTATTTCCTAGAGTTTAGACATAAGTGTAAGCTTAGAGAACACTTAATAGTCACTATTTTACTGCCATTATTTTATAATATTTTGTACATATATTTGGTGATAAAGTTAAGAGAGTAAATATATATTTTGGGCAAATAGATTAAGTTGATACAAATGTCTTATATAAAGTAGAAATAAGGTTTTATAGAAATTCTACTATGATTTGTTTAACCCTTCACTGGGTGGTTATTCCTAAGTCACTGGAAATAAAAGAGTCTCTCTTTATTCTATGATTCCAGGTCTTAAACAATCTAAGAAAAAAACTGCCTCTATTCCTTTTTCTTGAGTTTCAATCTACATGTTAGCATTTGACCATTACTCAAAGATGAACTTACCCAATGCAGGCTTATTTCCCCAAGCTTACTGAAAATGCATTTCTTAATATGTTATTATCTTCCTTGCTATTCTGTTTGCTTGTAAACATACAAGCTTTAGTAGATAATGAATGTGAGAGGAAGGCAGGTAGCAAAATATTTAGGAACTGGATTTATTCTGCTCCTGGATAAACAATAACTGGATAATCCGAGTTTTGTTTGTTTTACTTATCTAGTGCAACCACTCCGAAATTTCCCCAATTCCCATAAGTATTTTCATTTTGAGAATGGAAATGACCTTGATGCGTAGAACTCCCAAAACTATAAGCCATGTGCTATGGCCTCTATAAATACTCCTCTGTCTTATTTATACAAAAGTGATGCCAATAGGAGATGGGTTTGGTACAGATATATCCTTTGGAAAAAAAATACTCTGTCCTACTCATACTTGTCAAGAGATCGTTTTTAAAGATGGTACTCTAGTTACATAAATGGAGTTGTCTGGACTTACTGACATTTCAAACAGTAAGAAAGCAGGGTTTTCTTTTAGGGTGACACATAAATTGAGATGATGGTTTCTGATGATTTTCACTCCCAAATTTTTTTTAATGAAAATATACCAACTCTCACTTGGCAAATTAAAACCAAACACCCAAGACATCTAAAGCCTATTTGTTTACGAGATTGTAAGACTTATCTGGTTTATTTCCCAAGTTTTTAGATATCTGGCCAACAGTCTCACACAATGAAAAGGTCACATGGGGAAGAGACAAAGGCCCTACAGCAGCGGTTCTCAACCTGTGGGTCACGACCCCTTTGGTGGTCAAACGACCCTTTCACAGGGGTCGCCTAAGACCATCCTGCATATCAGATATTTACATGACGATTCATAACAGTAGCAACATGACAGTGATGAAGTAGCAATGAAATAATTTTATGGTTGGGTCACAACATGAGGAACTGTATTTAAAGGGCCAGAAGGTTGAGAACCACTGTCCTACGGGAAGACAAAAGATAAGAAAACAGGCCTCCAGACTGTCCTACTTATTCCAATTTCCAGACTGGCTCTAGACACTTAGGAAAACACATTAAATGTCAGTTTTAGAGGCTATTACAGGATGAAAAGCATGTGATCATATGAACTGCTAAGACATGAGGTTAAGGAAGCCCCACTCCAAACTCACTGAAGGCATCTCTACTGGGATCCACGACATAATAGCTTTGAGAATCTTTCATGCTTCCCTACATATTTCCTAAGAGATGAGAACTCCACAAGGTAAAGGGCCAAAAGTTATGCCTTTTTCAAGGATGGAGGATTATTCATTTATTCAACTCCTAACGCTGGGCATTTCCCATGAGTCAAACAAACTTGTCTTGGGAAAGCCAGGATACCGGAAACACACACAGATGCCTGAAGCACTAAGCTCTCAGAGAGCTACCTGCCTAACGACAAGTTCATACTCTAGTAGGAGCAGATTACTTATGCAAACTTCGACTAAACCTTTGAAAATATCAATTCTTTGTACTACTAGCCCCCATGTCCTAAAACTCACTGAGCCTGAATCTGCTCTGACGGCTAAGACGAAGGTGGCGCTAAATGAACTACCAGGAAACCCAGGAGTCAGGTGTATAAACATGACTGCCTGCAATGAACCATTTTAACATATGCTTTTTGGAGGCCTGGCTTCATTATAGAAAGGAGACAGCACTTGTTAAATTTAGGGGAAATGTTTGCAGTGTACTCTGGAGTAGAAAAGACTACCATCGGAGTTGAGCTTCAAAGGCCTGGGTTTCACAGCTGGAGCCTTCATTTCTGGTCTGGAATTCGAGTTGTAAGCATCTTGGCTACAACTGATTTTTCAGGCTCCCAGGAAAGCGTACACTCACTCGACTACTTACATTACACCTTCCCGCTCGGGTTTCAACCACACCGCCAACGTAAATGATGCCGCCAGCCTCAGAGGAGGAGAAGAAGAAATGCAGCTCGTGTGATTTCCGAACATAAAACTCGTGGAATTTTGAGGGGAATCGGGGCGCAGATCCTGCATGTCTGCAGCCACGCAGCCCCCCAGGCCTGTGGAGAAGAGGGCTGTGTAGGCTGGGGGTGCAGATCTGTGGGGACAATCCTGAATGCAAAGCCTCTGGGTGCAGGACTGGAGACTTTCGGCGACCGCAGAGCTATGGCAAAACGTGCTGTGGTTTTGGAGTCCGCACGTGGCGTGGGTTGGCACGACGGTCACAGTCTTGAAGGCTCCCACATTCTCCAGCCTCGGGAAGAGGCCCTGCGAGTCAGCCCAGGAGATGAGCGCAAAATAGGCCACGATCAAGGTCTCCGTGATGTGCAACAAGAGGCCCCAGCTCAGGGAGAGAGCCAGGCCATTCATGTTTACAGAAAAGCATCCTCGTCCCGACAGAGCATCCCTACATAAGTCAGGAGGCCAACGCTGCTCGCCAGCAACACACCAACGCCGGGCGCATTAAGGAGCCTGGAGATCCTGCTTTTTCGGGAAAATGCAGAGGCGGTTTTACCCCGAGGTAACACCACGGACGTCCCGGGCGATGGGCAAGGCATGGGGAGCAACTGGTGTCTGGGAACCAGAAGCAGAGTGTCAGGTGACAGCCGCTGCATCAGTAGAACTTGAGTTCTTCCTGAGACAGAGGACTTGGAGCCCGTGACAAGAACCACCACTGAGCTTTCTAAACCAACAAACACTGGGAAGGACTTTCTCTTGGCAAATACTCATTCTTTGGGCAAATATCCTCATTTTGCTGAGCACATGAGGCACTCTCAAGCCCACAGGGCAACCAGACTTATAAATCTATACACAGGCATCTATCTTTATTAATGTTTTCACCGCAATAAACCCAGAGGGTCACTCTCCCCCCAAGACCCAGCACTACCTGCTTCACCAGGTAAAGAGCCGGGTGGGTTTGCTCTGCGCACCGCACCCCGTGCTATAACACAGAGCTGACTTGCTCGTGCCAGAATGAAGCCTGCAAAGTGCTCGGGGCCTTTCCCCCTTTGCCCAGCACATGCAGCAACTTTAAACTCCCAGCAAAGCAGCTTAGCAGCCCAATGCCATCTGTCTGTCCCGGGCCTTAGCATTTAGCAAACGCTTACGCTCCTGTTTCCTCCTCTGACTACGTATGGGCAGGTTAAATACGGACCCCCTAATACTGTGTAAGTAACTGTACTGACAAATAAGCCCAGTTACCATTTCTTTATTGCATCTCAACCGGTCCCCTCAGTGCAACAAATGCTCTTCACAGGACCCCAGTCCCTCGTTGCCTGGCAACACCACAGTGACCCTCGTTACTTCTAGCAAATAGGCTGCAACGGCAGAAGGGCTGCCAGGAAGCCTTGGCTGCCCACTATAGGACCCGGCACAGCAAACACGGGGTTACCTGAAACAGCGCAGTCAGCTGGGAGGCCTGCCTGGAACTGAGCTCCCCCAGCTGCCAGCAGGTGCCTGGAGCAGGGGGAGGGACCTGGAGGGGCCAGGCGTGCATACTTTTAAAGTAGCAGTACACCTTATCCTTTAATCCCCGTCGCCCCTCCTCCTTCCACTTCCATGGTGTCATCAAAATGATCTGCCTCTATTAGCAATACAGCAAATAATTTCTGGGGTGTGCTCTCTCTCTTCTGGATACAAATGTATTGATCACCTACTAGAGGCTTGGTCCATGCATGAAAGTTTCTTTTGACTATTCAGTTTCTGCATTCGTTAGCTTAGATACCCTCCTCTAAATACACACCCTTCTCTACATGACCAGGAGCCTCTGATGTTATCTAAAAAGGTTGCATTTGGACTTGGACGATCAGGGATTTTAAGGGCACTGCAGAAGCAACAGGATGCCTGACTTTTCAGCCACTTGATTGAACATAAATATGAGTGCATTTATGAATGCATGCTTGATGTCAGTCAGTTTTATGTAGTTTCTATTATATCCAAACTCTCTCTTTTGTAGCACCTGGGATATCTCATCCTAAATATGAAGTATTCTAAAGCAACTAGTACTTCTCTCTCCATTTTTATGTTACAAATAGAAAACCCATTAGAGAAAAAAAATGATCAATTGTGGTTTTGTTTTCTGGAAGTTATCATATTTAGAGAAATGTTTAGAAGTGGCAGAGATGTTTGTATGGTGTTTCTTGTAAGACAGTGAAACAAACCCAAAGTGACTTCTCTCACATCTTTCTTTAGTTTCTCTCTGTGAGAGATCTGAAAGCCACAGCCCTTGTATAGATCAGCTTAATCAATCAGCACAAGCTGCTTCTGCAGAAAACCTGCACCTTGTGTCACACTATCCTACTCTCTACTTGCTGACAATTACAATCTTGCAAGGGTGATACTTTAAATTAAAAACAAGCTTTAATATAAAAGCAGCTAATATGCAATATGTAAATTCTGAGAGCTTGGGAAAATAAGTTTTGAAATACACACACACACATGCATATATATCTATACTAATAAAAAGGTAATATGCTAATTAGACCAGGAGATCTTCCAGGAGACCTTCTGGACATCCTTCCGGACAAAGCCATGATGGCAAGGCTGAGGCAGAGGAGGTTAGGGGTGATCAGGCCAGGAGGGGAGGGCAGTTGGGGGCAAGCAGGCTGGCGGGGGGGACACAGTTGGGGGTGATAAGGCCAGCGGGGACACAGTTGGGGGTGATAAGGCAGGCAGGGCAGGTGAGCAGTGGCAATCAGCAGGCAGGGCAGGTGAGCAGTTAGGAGCTAGCGGTCCGGATTATGAGAGGGATGTCCGACTGCCAGTTTAGGCTTGATCCCTGTGGCTAGATCCCACAGGGATCAGGCCTAAACCAACAGTCGGACATCCCCCTAGGAGTCCCATATTGGAGAGGGTGAAGGCAGGCTGGGCTGAGGGACACCACCCCACCGTGCACGAATCTCGTGCACCAGGCACACAATAAGACTTAAACAATGGGTTATTCAAACCTGTTATTAAACGTGAACCAATGTTTGTCTTCAAACAAGCTATTCAATGCCTGGCTTTTCTTTGTCCCTAGAGAATTCAAGAACTAACGTTATTTTTTATTTAAATTGATTTTTGGAGATAGGAAGGGAGGGGGTGGGAAAGAAAGAGAAACATCATTTTGTTGTTCCGTTTATTTCTGCATTCATTGGTTGCTTCTTGTATGTGCCCTGACCAGGGATTGAACTGGCAATTTTGCCATGTCAGGACAATGCTCTAACCTACTGAGCCACCTGGCCAGGGCTTAACATTAATTTTTTAAAAATTTGAAGATCTTTATTAAGCCATTCATGAATCAGCATCCCATCTAGCACCTAGAAGCGCTCTTCAACATTAATTTTTAATTGTGGTGCCTCTGTGTATATTTTGGGTCTCCATTCTGGATATTAGAATTCTTCTACCACGTAACTCTTGCTTTGTCATAAGAAGTCATGACTCAAAATAGGCAATCTAAGATTAGCGACTCTGCTCCATTTCAGAAACTCTGCCTGTAATTTGCAAAGGCAGGCAGTGGATTGACATCTCCCTCAACTTTCGTGCTCAGTACTATCAATCCTGGGGACACGTCTAGTAACTGAACTGGGCGCCAAGAGTTCCACCACCCCAATCAGTGCCTGAGAAATAAAGTGCAAAAAAAGAAAAGTACCAGTGTACAGGAGAAAATGTTAGTTAAACATATGTGGCACTGTGCTATTATTTTTTAAAGATGTTTTATTGATTTTTAAAGAGAGAGGGGGGGGGAGAGAGACATCAATGTGGGAGCAAAACAGCGATCGGCTGCCTCCTGCATGCCCCCCATCAGGGATGGAACCCACAACCTGGGCATGTGTCCAGACTGGGAATTGAACCAGCAACCCCTATGTGCATGGGACAATAAGATACAGAGACGCTGGTGAGGGACATAGTATTTTTAGTAGACTTAGGGGAAAAAAAAGGTCAAATGCATGAACCACATAGCCCCCATCACCCAGCCCATCGTGAAAGGTCAGACTATTTCATGGTTTAGAACAGCCGTGGGCAAACTATGGCCCGAGGGCCGGATTCGGCCCGTTTGAAATGAATAAAACTAAAAAAAAAAAAAGACCATACCCTTTTATGTAATGATGTTTACTTTGAATTTATATTAGTTCACACAAACACTCCATCCATGCTTTTGTTCCGGCCCTCTGGTCCAGTTTAAGAACCCATTGTGGCCCTCGAGTCAAAAAGTTTGCCCACCCCTGGTTTAGAAGCTCCAGAGAAAGTCTGGGGGTAAATCCTGGCTTCACCACCTAACAGCTGTGTGTTCTTAAACAGGTGATGTAAGCTCCCTCTGCTTCAGCTTCCCCATCTATAAGACTGAAATATTTTATAGGATTGTTGGGGGATGAACTATAGAGAACACGAAGCAATGACTGGGTTTTCACTGCTAGCTCTCCATTATATATTTCCCAATTTATATTAGTGAGTTTTTCTGTAATTGTATATCCAAAGGCCACAGAGAGGAAATACTGCCATATATTTCTCTATCGTTAATGTCTACCCAACACTTTTATGGATTATCTACTCTGATCTTTGTAACAACCCTACAAATGAGAGACAATACCACTCCCAAAATGAAGGCAATGAGAACGGGGGCTTAAGTGGCTTTCTCAAAGTCACTTAATTAGTAAGCGGCAAAGCCTGACAATCGCCCCGCTGATCTAGACTGAGCCTACAACTCCTCATCCTACTCTAAAGGAGAACTGATCTGATTTTCAGGGAAGGGGTGGGTGCTGAATTGTGCCTAAGAGTCAACAGTGTTTGTGGAGAGAGAAAATGAGCATTTCAAGTGACAGGAACAACCGAGTGAAGAAAGTAAGTTTGGAAGAAGCCTGCTACATACGTGGGCCATATGTTTCCTGTAAGAATATGTAGACAGATACCATCCAGCCCTCTCAAATGAGGTTTATCAGATTTGTAGTTTTTTTCTCTGAAAAAGTTCAAAGCTTTAACAAGGGTGTCAATGTAGTAACTTTTAGGAGCTTCCATTTTTATTCACTAAGTCCTAGGCGTTATCATACTAGCCTTGATCAAAACTCCTGGACACGTGTTCTTATACTTCTTAAATTATGCAAACTCTCAGATGATCAAAGCATCGTACCTGTTTGAGGCATAAAAGCTTCGCTGTGGCATTTCGGGTTACACTGGGACCCAGGAGAACGTGACACCCCTGACAGCATGTGGCAGGCCACCCAAGTCCCGTGCGTTCCTTCTCCGGAGCCTTGGAGAGGGCCCAGACCCAGCCCGGCAGGTGAATTCAAGGGAGATTCCTAGCTCTGCCCCCGGCCGTGAAATAACAGCTGCCAAGCAGTGTGGGACAGGGCACGGCAGGCAAGGCAATGGCTGGTGAGCGGGACAAATGGGTG